GCCCCCCCCCACCCCAATTTTACAGCGGCTGCCTAGACTGTCCATGGTTTGTCCGTCAGAGGCGTGTTCTTGACGCGGGGACGGATTGCATCCAGCATCCGATACGAGACTCAATGGAATCGAAGACTGGAAAGAAAACTGGGCAAATACATGCGCCAACCCGGTGCGCTTTATCCAGCTGCTCCTATCGGACGCGCAGCTCTCCGATCCCGCTGACAGACTGGTGTGACTGGTCGCCTACCAAAACCGCAGGCTGGACCCACACAGCCCTCCCTGGAAACTCTTTGATTAGTGGCCACGCCTTCATGTTCATGTCTGAGACGCATCACTCAAACACGGTAGGCTGCTCTTACGAGAAATAATGGGTCTGTGGGTCACATGGTTTTTAATGATTTTACATATGGCATTCTTATGATATCTCAATAATATTGATAAATACTTAAATCGGGACTCCAGAGTTCATGGAAACAATTGCGCATCTTCTCTTGTTACCTTTAGGTCTATGAAACTATGAATTATGTGCTACTATTATCATAATATAAACTTTTTGTAGGCTATTATATTCATATAAGAAACTTGTCAGTGGTTGGACTCAATTGTCTTGTTGAAAGCATAGTCCTGTTGTGTTTTTGTTAGTAAACCAATGTGATGAGGTAATTTACTCAAATCAGTTACTGCAGTAGGCTACTGGGGGGATTTCTTGTTCAAATTAGTGACTTCAACTCATGCAGCTCAGGCGTTTATTTATTCAGTAACAGATATACAGTGAAAAAATCACACTTCTGTTAGCTGCTGTGAGGTGATCATTTCATTAGCCTCCTGCAGCCCTGAATGCTGCAGGAGGGCAAATAGTTTTACCTTTCATTCCGCCTTTTAATCTGCTAGATGAATATAGGGGTATAAGCAGTATTTCTAGTTCAAGGGCAGAATATGTAAAATTAAAGTGTTTGTAAATTATAATATTCTGTGATCATTTTTTCTTAACGTTAATAAGTGTGTCTCTTTTATGCTAATAATCACTTAGTGTAAAGATCGATTTTCTTCATCATTGTTGGGAAAGCAACATAAGAACCGTACATTTCTCCTCTCGATTTAGAACCAGCAGAACCCGTCCGAATACAATAAATGCGGTATGCCTAGATGAAATAGTTACTGTAGAAGGGACTGGGCTGTTTTTATGGGTCTCATTAGCATCAAATGATGTGATATTCTTTGGATGTACCCCACAGAGGAGTTACTGGTTTTGTGAATGAGATAAGTGAATGATGCTGGACCACGTGCCAGGACAGCACTGTTGAGTCATCTTTTGCCCTCTGAAGACCGACACTCCCTCCTCCTGGACATAAATGGTGTTACAGCACATGTAAGAAGACTCCTTGTACTCTCGGTTCAGTCCAGATCCGTTATGGGATGGGAAATCATGAGTGGAAATGGCACAACGGGAAAAACGAACTCTAATAATTCCTCGGACTTGGAGTTTGAACTTTTGCTTTGATAAAAATCCCCGGACCTGTATGATGGAGAGCGGGAGTCATCCTGCAGACAACTTGTGATTTTATTGTTCAGCCTGAAATCCATGAGACCGATCGAGCCCGTGAGATCTAGGTAATCTGTGGAGCTGCTACCCTGCCATCCATTACGCACATATGTACGCACGGCTGTTCTTCACTGCACAGCGGCATGTGAGGACCTGAAGATAAATTGCAGCACATTAACAAAACAGCATAATCCCACAGAACAGTAAACAGCAGCCTGTTTACTGTCAGAAAATGTGGCCACCATATCCTGGCAGCAGCCCACAAATTTTGATCATGAATCAGAAACTCTTCAGATGGACATATGAATCATGCTGAGCTTGAAAATGCATTCATTGATCTAGACTGTGTAAAAATATGACTGGATTAAATAAAACCCACAAAGGTCACATCACACAACACTGCAGGAAGTCTTCTTCCAGTCAGTCATAACTGTCAGCCTACTCAGCTTCCTGCACAGCAAATCTCATTTGCTGCCTCTGCTCCCTCGCTGGTGCGACTTTAAAGGGGAATGAGGGGATAATGTGCATTATTACTTTTATCCGGCTGCTTGTACCTTTAACCAAAAGGGGTGCCCTGCCCCTTGTCGTTGCATAACAAGCAGCATACCTGAACAGGTGAAAGGAAGTGGATGTGGGTTCCTGCAGACCAATCATCAACAAGGGGTGAGTGCAGTGGGCGTGGCTACAAGTGGTTTAAATCTTTAGTTTGCTTGGAAAACAGCTGCATCAGTCACTATAGTCTCCAGTGTTCATTTGAATATGTTTGGTGTCAGGACGTTGCCAAACACATCCGAGTTGTGCTTGCAGGAAAACAGAGTCTTAAAGTGTTCGTTAAGTCCCAGAAAGTTTCTTTAAGAAAAACTGGTGAAGGAGAAAGTGTATCTGTTTGTTACATTGAATTTGTTTCCTGCTACATGACATGACCTGACCTATATAGATGTGGAACCATTTGAGTCAAACTAATTTTATTTATTTTTCTCTTTTCAGGTAGATCTACCGAACTGTAAGTTAATTATTTTTACCTTATTGTGGGTTCCCTTGTCAGACCCTCCGCCTGCCCCCGCTAGTTTATTCATTAAGGGGGTCTTGTTGTGGCCATTTTGCCACAAAGCCTGAATTTACTTGACATCTTGTTTAGTTCAGGCGTTTTTCTCGG